AAGTTCATAGCTATTTAGGTGAGGTATTCTTTCGTGCGTGTATGTGGTGTGCTGAGTTTGGGTGATAATATATATATATATATTATATATAATATTATAATTATATATGCGTGTGTGTGCGCGCGCGTGTGTATGACCTGACCAAATATTTTCCGATAGACGTATGAATGGATGGGTGGGTACCTGTATGGATAGACGTATGAATGGATTGGTGAATACATGTATAGATAAATGAATAGGTGTTGGATGGATGGATGGATGGATGGATGGATGAGATTGGATGGATGAGGATGATGGATGCGGATTGGTGTGGCACTGGATGGGATGGATGGATGGTGGAGATGGATGGATGGATTGGGAGGATGGCATGGATGGATGGTGGATGGATGGATGCGATGGATGGCATGGATGGAATGGATGGGAGTGATGATGGCATGGCTATGGATGGATGGATGGATGGATGGATGGGATGGATGTGGATGGATGGATGGAGATCTTCAGTATCTGGTTGGCTATTCTCGTAGATGTTACATCTCTTGCACCGCTCAGTATCTTCTATATAGCTATTTTAGTAGATGTTACATCTCTTGCACCGCTCAGTATCTTCTATAGCTGTTCTAGTAGATGTTACATTCATTGCATCCGTTCGTATCTGGTGTTACTATTTTAGTAGATGTTACATCCTTTGCACCCTTCAGTATCTGCTCGCGCTAGACCAGTTACTCTGGTAGGCGAATATATAAGGCCCATGTTATGAATATCACGAATATTTCATAAATTTATTTACCATTTAATGTTGATATCATAGCCTTAAAATGGCTTTTCACGTCGAAGGTTATCACATTTCAGACTTATCATGTTAGAGCTACTTATTATGTTTCTGGCAGCAGCCCCCAGATTCGTTGTCACCGAATACAGCTGTCTCCGCTTTATCGGGACAAGTGGGTTACCATGAAAATATACCGATTAAGCGGTGATACCAATTAAGCGGTGAACTCATTACAATGCGCGTAAAGATTGCTATATATACAATACAATATATACTATAATACAAAGACATGTCGTTTAAATGAACCTCCCGTTTACCCGCGCCCGATAAAGCAGGAATCACTCTAGTACAGTAATTTGCTCGTCTGTCGATACACAGCTGAAGCTGAAATAAACACGATTGTGAGAGGCGCAAACGAGTACGGGACTCATTCGAAGTGTGTCGCCTTGAAGAGGATCACGTCTACGAACGGTGTTAGAGACTACATCGACGTGCAATACTCTACTAGCGGGTGAGCACACGCACGCACGCAGCACGTAAGCACGCACGCACGCACGCACGCACGCACGCACGCACACACGCACACACACATTGATATAGTCATCTTCCGTTCTTATAGTTCTTCATTGAGCACTTATAATTAATTAAACATTCGGCCGTGAATTTAATTTATTATTGTGTGTACGCGTGCATGCGTGAGCACGCACGCGCGCGCGTTTGTGTACATGCGTGTGATCGTACGTATAGTATGCATGCGCGCGTGCGGGCGTGCGTGCGTGTGTGCGTGGGGAAGGGAGGGCGGGTGCGCATGCGATACATGCACAGTGAATCCTCTATTTCACTATACAGGTGTTCATCGTATGTCGGAAGAATCGGTGGCAATCAGAGGTTAAAGCTCACATCCAGCTGCATCCAGGAATACGGCAGCATCATACACGAATTCCTGCACGCCGTGGGCTTCTACCATCAGCAAAGCACTTTCGACCGAGACGACTGGGTGACGATCATGTGGGAGAACATTGAAGAAGGTAACGGCTGCAACCCGAGCCCCTATAGATTGTTAACCAGGTAACGTCTGCAACCCGAGCCACTATAGATGGTGAACAAGGTAACGGCTGCAACCCCAGCCCCTATAGATGGTAAACCAGGTAACGGTTGTAACCCGAGCCACAATAGATGGTGAACAAGGTAACGGCTGCAACCCTAGCCCCTATAGATGGTAAACCAGGTAACGGTTGCAACGCTAGACACTATAGATGGTAAACCAGGTAACGGCTGCAACCCGAGCCACGATAGATGGTGAACAAGGTAACGGTTGCAACGCTAGACACGATAGATGGTGAACCAGGTAACGGTTGCAACGCTAGACACGATAAATGGTGAACCAGGTAACGGCTGCAACTCGAGCCACTGTAGATGGTAAACCAGGTAACGGTTGCAACACTATACACGATAGATGGTGAACCAGGTAACGGTTATAACGCGATACACGATAGATGGTGAAGCAGGGAACGGTTGCAACGCCAGCGTAATAAAATACAATAGAACGTCGTAGGAATGCAGAAGTAGACTATAGTACCCAGAAGTATTACGTATTTGGCAGCATAATAGTAGTATAGTAGTAATAATACGTACGTAGTGCAACGTATAAACGTGAAAAATGCGTCGAGTAGGCCTATGACTTCATGATGCCCACATACACTCACGCACACACATGACTATTGTTTCTCTTTTTCACCAGGACATGAGCACAACTTCAACAAGTACGACGACAGCAGCGGTCCACACAGGTGTTGGTTCCCGTACGACTAACGGCTCCGGCTGATGCGCGTAAACGGCGCGCTACGGCTTCAGCAAAACGGGCGAACACGACAATCGAGCTCTGCAACGTTGCCTCCGACGACCTCGGACAACGAGACGGCTTCTGCCGGCTACCGACGTCGACAGCTAGACGGCAATGTACTGCAATTGTAATCGCCTATAATCGAGCGGACAGCTATGTCTTCGCGGCGAATCACACCAGCCCACCTGTGTCCTCTAATAAACCCATGATGATAACGCACCTTGCCTATGTTTAACCCATGATGCTAAGCGCACCTAGCCTATTTTAACGGCCATGGATAATAACGGCACCTGCCTATTTTAACCATGAGAATAACGCAGCGGCTACCTCTTTTAACGCCATGATCATAAACGCACCTGCTATTTTAACCGCATGATGAAACGCACCTACGCTATTTTTTAAGCCCATTGATGATAACGCACCTACCATATTTTACCGGGCATGATGCTAACGCACTACGGCTATTTTACCGCTATGATGAGCAACGCACGCGGTCTATAAACGCTATCGGTGATCACACACGCTGCCTATATTACCTCGTGACATGAGCATGAACGCTTTCCTGTAGTAAGACATAATTACTATGAATCTGCGGGTAATGGTTAATGAATAGGTAGTAATAGCCCGCGAAGCGCGCATGACAGCGACCAGCTCGATGGCTTCTCTGAGGCTTCCGCGAGCATTTTTATAATCCACGAGAAATATTGTAAATCATCGCTTTGGAAGGGATTTGACTTGGAAGGGTGGGTGGGGAATTGAAGTGTAGTTTTTCAGCCCTACTAGCTTAGGGCGCTCGCTGATTGATAAATCCGGTCTACCTGATGAGAATTGATTACAGAACCTATGGCCGAATACTCCTGAACGCATAGTAAATGCATTTTCAGCACAATATAACTCGCTCTGGGGTGAGATATTGCGCAATGCAGCTAAAACAGTAACGTAAGTCAGATTGTGGCAGATGTGTTAGATGCAGCGGAAAACCTTACATCGAGGTCTGCTTCCTATTTCGTAAGTGAGGTAATACTAATGGAATTTTTTCATAGGATTAGGTCTCCT